ATATGGTATTTGATTTCAAGTTCAGAAGTAGATACCAAGGAGGGAAACTCCTGCTATAGCAGGTCGAACATAGGTACTCAGTGGGTAACCGGGTTAGTCTTAACTTGTAATTTAGGTATAGTTGGTGGCCTTCAGGCACAGCACTTGCCATTTAGAGATAGTTCTCATATGCTATCTGCTGACAATTTCAGAGTTTATCATTCACCGATAAGTCTCTCTAAAAATTTAATAGTCTAGAGGATTATTACAAGCCTAATAAAGTTGAGGCATGACTGCCGAATTAGTACAAAAAAAAAAAAAAAAAAAAGATAGTCTGTCAGCAATGACAAAAGTAATAAGTTCAGAAACATATAAGCAAGAGATGGATTGCGTTGAAATATCAAAAAGAGTTTGGCAGAGCAATGAATACATGCACCACAAGATTACTTACTACAAGATTACACACTACAAGATTACACATCACAAGACAGTTACTAGAGTTATGAAACTAATGAATATAGGTTATAATTAAACTCAGAGGAAGAAATAGTACCTACTAGTTCCAACTATTACTCAAAAACATCAATTAGTAAGTATGAAAAACATTCAAATAAAAAAAAAAAAGAGTGACAGTACTACTTCCAGTTTCATATTCTCAGTTACGAAAACAGCCTTCTGATTCTTTTTGTAATTGTGATTTAAAAGCAGTATCAGGAACAAGAAATGTATTCGATTTAATGTATATATATGAAAAAAAATACAAGAATTTCTGAACATAATAAGACTGATTCATCTTATTCAGTTGATATTAATAACGAATGAGTTTTGTATAAGTATCAAAAAGTTAACATGCAAGATAAATCAGTTGGACAATCAAGCGATACTTCCAAAAGCTTAAAAGTATCTAAATTTGGTAGATCTTTACTTTGTAGCCCCATTTGGAAGTGGTTCGAAGAAATATATGTCGATAATATTTGGCATAGTCAGTATAATGTTGAAATGGCAAATAAAAAGCCTTGTGACACTAAAGTAAAAACTGGCAATTCTACAACAGCCCTATGGAAGCACCTTAAGATTGAATATGGATACTCTGGAAAGACTAAGCAACAAGTAAGCTTTTTTAATTAGTGCAATCAAAATCTTACTAGTTAATAAGCTTAATTATTTTTTTTTTTTTTTAGTTAAACAAAAAACAGACAACTATTACAAAGGCATTTGAAGCTTCTTTATCAAAGCCGCATAGCATAACTGAACAGGCCATTTGTGATAGGGCCATCATTGAAGTTATTATTTTCAAAAATCTTACATTTTTATTTACGGAAGATAAAATGTTTAAGTGATTTGCGAAAATTGTGGATTTATGTTAGACTATGCCAAGTAGGGGAAAAGTTAAAAGTCTTATTGATGAGAGATTTGAACAAATCTGCTATCGTCTGCAGGATGACTTATACAAAGTTGAAACCATGTCGTTAACTATAGATTTATGAATAGCATATTCATGTAATAGTTATCTAGGCATAACGATAACATGGATTAATAAAATGTTTGAACTAAATAAAGCTGTTTTAGCAGTTACTTCTCTTAAATATCTGCATACCACTGATGCAATTGCAAAATATATTAAAGATGTTCTTGAACATTGGAACCTAAAAAGTAGAGTTTTCTCAATTACAACTGATAGTGAGGTGAATATTAAATCAGCATGTAATAAACTTGATATTAAATGGGTTTCATGCTCTGCATATATTTTGAATCTGATTGTGCAAAAGAGGCTTTTGCCTGCCAAACCCCTAATTACTCAAATGAAATATTTGATTAAATTTTTTACTACACCCAAACAAAGTGAATGTCTTGAGGCAGTACAATTATCAATTCAAGCACAACATTAATTGAATAGAGGAAAGATAAATTCAAAATCAATCTGAAACCAGTTTCTTTCATTTTAATATCACTTTACTAATACATTATCTTACCTATACTCATCTTACTAACAATTATTTTACTGACAAAGTAATTCTAGTATTGTTGTTAGGGTCAGACTAGAATTAAAGTTAAGGTTAGTGCAGTTTTTAAAAAAAACTTGTTAGTAAAATGAGCCATCAGTAAAATAATTGTCTATCAACTTGTCAGTAAAATGAGTATAGGTGAAATGAGGTGTTGGTAAAGTGATATCCATGAAACAATATATATCTATATAAAACAAGGGTTTAATCGTATCAATTAATTTATTATACAAATATTTGGCTTGATAAATTTTATTAAGTTATTTAAATTTTTTGATTTCCTAAACTAAAAAAAAAAAATGAATTAAAAAAATTTTTATAATTTTAAATTTAATAAAAATATTTGATGTGACTAGACTGCTTGCATTATTATTATTATTTTATAACTAGCAATAAATTTATATACAGGATAAAGATGATATCTTGTTGTGGGTGCAAAGTGATATTGTGACCCTTTGGAATTCTACATTTAACACATAAGTTCGAATGCTCAAGCTCAAACCTTACATTGAGATACTTGCAAGTTCGTTTACTGTTCAGCAGGAAAAAGATGCAATCATGGATAGAAAATGTCTAAAAGCAATTATAATTACTGAGGATGAGTGGAGCATAGTTGCTAATATAATTAAAATTTTAAAACCTTTTAATAACATAACAAATTATATTTCAGGCAGTTCGTATCTGACTATAAGCATTATTTACCCAACAATAAGCACTCTTTGAAATGCTTTACTGAAAGAATTTGAAGATGAAGATATTAATGATGATTTTACGAATAAACAGATAGATCTTAATACTAGTTCAACAAGTTTATTTGATAAGGAGAAAGTATCAGATGAAGATGAAGAAGATACAGAACAATTCAAGTCTCTAGCTATAACAATAGATCTGGTCGAAAGTATTAAAAAAATAATAGCAAAGTTATTTTTAAAGTATTATAAGGTAAAGTTTTTAGAACACTATATCATAACTTAATATCATAGGATGTGTATTGCTTTTGTATTATTAATTCATTTTATTTGTTAAAATTCTCTGATCAATCATCAAATTGATTATATAATCATTTTAATGATCGATTAGATAATTCTCAAATTCTTAGATATTTTCTTAGATCAGTTTTTATTTAATTAATTTTATTTTTTTTTATTTTTTTCTTGATTTTGAGATTAATTCTTGAAGGTTCTTTTTCTTCTCCTGAACTATTTTTCCATAAAGTAACATGTAACTTGTCTAATATTTATAACAATTTAGTTTTTTGATGATGAAATATTACTTATCGCAATAGCAATTGATCCAAGGTGCAAAAATTATGAATATAAGGACACTATATTAACATGCTAAGATTGTTTTAAGTTGGAATATAACCAAATGATAAGTGATAAAAATTTGAAATTATTATCAAATAAAGCAATACTTGATTTATCTGGATTATTCATATCAACAGTTTTTACTGCAGTTCAAAAAAATTTGATACACAAGAATAAGGTTAATCAATATCTTATGATGGAAATGATTGGACCTTTGGAAAATCTTCTACAGTGGTAGGCAGCTCACAAAAATACTCTTTCGAGATTGACAAGTTTTGCCTGCAAATACCTTGTGATCCCAGCCACTTCCGTCCCTGTGAGTATCTCTTTTCACAATGTAAAAATGTAATGACTAAAAAAAGGACTTGGTTAACACCACAAATATTCAGTAAATTAGTTTTTTGTCATGCAAATCAAGAATGATATGACACAATATTTCTAAATATTACAAACTAATATTTGATTGTTCTAAGATAATTTGATTTAACTCTTAAGTTATATCATATTTAAGGAATAGCGTGTTATTTATCTGATAATTTTAATATATTATTTTATAGCTGCCTTAGCACAAGTTATAGAAAATTCAAATATAGTATTCAGGTAATTTATTTATTTGATATATTTAAGCTTTGTTTAATATATTTCTAAAATTATTTTAATATATTCTATAAATATAAAGATTTTGGCAATAAATTAGAAAGAATTCATAGATAAATAATTGAGATAGAAATAGGTTTATTTCAATATGGGGAATATGAAATGATCATAAATGAATATTAATACTATTTATATATTAGTTAATATATGAATGTTACAAAAAAAAAATTACAAAATTTATTAGTTTTTTTTTGTATAGACCTTGTTATTTTGCTTAGATAGCATAAAATATTTGCTAAAGATAGTTTTCAGACTATTCTAATTTCTAAAAATATAAATCTAAAATTTTCAATCTTCAAATATTAATTAAGTATAGAGGTATCAGATGTTATGAACTTTTGTAAGGCCGGTATTTTATATATAACATGATGAAAATTATGTAAAATCTAGTTACATTACTGAACTTATACAAAAATATAGTGTTAGATTGTAGCAGCCCTAGTATTGGAATAGCAAGTTTCATTTAACAAAAAACTTGTTATGATAATTCAAATACAAACTAAATCACATACTGTATCACCAAAATGGTGATTTAGTTCTGTAATAGAATTATCTTTAGGCTTTGAAGATATTTTATTAGTATTGGTTTTAGTACGACAATGTTGGGAAGCAATTAAGGATGTTAAATCGTTCAGCTTGAACTAGTTTGACAGAGTTCAAAACTCAGATCGTTATGATTAAGTATAGACAAAAATTTTTAAATATTCTTAAATTTTGCCATAATAAATAATTCTATTTAATACATATTTTATTGCCGTTATATCAAATAAACTTTTAAATTTTATTTATTAAAAACATTCATTACTATATTATAAATTAATTATTGCTTAATATTGTTATTGCAAATGCAATTAAATATTATCAATTTTTTTCAGAAGTAACCGGTTATCGCATGATAATTATATGTGGAAGATTCGATTATTGCTTCATTAAGTTTGCAAAGCAAATTTTGAATTTGCAAATTTGGTAAAGGCCAATTTGATGTTGTATATAAATATATGTTCAAATAATCGATCTTTTTATTAATTATCATTATTAATGTTAATAACTTATAAATATGACCAATCAAGGCATAATGATCAATCAAATCATAATATGACCAGTCACAAAATGGTAATTGATCGAAGTAATATGACCGGTCAAGACATGGTGATCGATCAAAGTATTGATCTGTAATACATATGATCAATCAATAACTGATTAATGAAAAGTTGACCGATCTCCATCTCTAGAAATCATCTAAAATGGTCTGGTTGATAAAAAGTTATTCGCCGTTAAATTTTACTAGCAATGATGCAAATCTGCCTATATGTAAAAAAGAAAAAATGTATAGTAGTTACAGTTTAGAGAACAATACTGTGTTAAATTAATTATTATTCGTGTTATTGTTATTCTATAACTGTATGTGTACTTATTTAATGTGGCAGATTATAATG